GGGCAATATCTGGGCCTGCAGGCTATAAAGGGAGTTTTGGTAAGTTGTTTCAGGCCAGGTCAGCAGCGCCCACCCTGCACAACAACTCACCAAAACTCCGTAAGTGGCTCTGCTTCATGCTTAGCCAGGCAGCTAGTATGGGGTCATGGGTGGCTGGAGAGTGGCATCTGGGAGCAAGATGGGTAGGTGGTCCCAGGCCTGGGATCATGGGACAGTGACAGCAAGGGGCCCAGGGCAGAACCATGATCCATTGTCCACCTGCCTCTGCAATGGGCTCTGGTTCTGTGGGCAGGGACATGCAGGGAGTGAATTGCAACTCTGCCCTGGGTCTGGCTCCATGCTGTCACCACCCTGTCTCCGTGGAAGCTGGCTGGGAGCCATGTGGGCAGGGTGCACAGCCAGGCAGGTGTAATGGGTCCATGGGTGGTTAGGGAGCTGCATCTGGGGCAGAGCCACAATCCACTCCTCACATACCCTTGCCCACAGTAACCATATCTGTTACAGGGCCATGTGAACAGCAAATCATGGCTCTGCCCTGACCTCCTCCCTGCCCTGTCACCCCCACCATGATCCCACCCCATTATCTGGGCTGCACCCACCCATCCTGCTCCCAAACTCTGCTCCTGACCCACCTCTGGTTCTGTCCCATGTGCCCTTCCCATGTGGGTCCTGCCCCCAGTGGTGGGTGTGGTGCAAATGGGCTGGGGTTCTTGAGCAGGGTCTGGTGGCAGCAGCAACCAGAATGAGCTGCTGCTGCTGGAGCTGCCAGGAAATGAGTTTGGCCCCCAGAACTGTCTCAGTCCCACTGCACACCTGGGGGTGGTGGCATGAACATTGTATGCCTCCCAACACTGGGGGGGGGCATGGTGACTGCCCGCAGATGGCAGTGGTGGTGGTGGGTGCATGGCAGTGGCAAGCAGAGAGCTCCCACAGGTGGCTGTGGTGGTGTCAGTGGTGGTGGGGGGTAGTGGTGGCGAGTGCTGACTAGCGATCAGCAACCACCTGCAGATACTGCTGGCAACATCAGCAGCAGGCAGTGGTGATTAGTGACTGTCCGCAGACGCTGCCAGTGGTGTCAGCGGTGAAGGGAGTGGCAAGTGCTGACTGCCCACAGGCACCACTGGCAGTGTCAGCAGTGGCCAATCTCAGGGGGTTGCACTGCCCATTTTGGGAGGGCACGTGCACCCGGGTACACCCCCTATGCATCATGAATGGGTGATGGGACTGGCTGCATGTGCCACGGCCTGGGCTGCCTCCTGTGCCTAGGCTGGGCAGGACTGAAGGACCCACATGGACTGAACAAAAATCCTTCAGCGGGCTGTTTCTAGCCCATGGCCCATATTTTGCCAACCCTTGGCCTAGGATGACACCCATG